CCCAAATTGGGCTGTTCCCAAATTGGGCTGTTCCCAGGAACATCCCAGCTCCCAGTGCTGGGGAATTGGGCTGTTCTCAAACTGGGCTGGTCCCAAACTGGGCTGATCCCAAACTGGGCTGTTCTCAAACTGGGCTGTTCCCAAACTGGGCTGTTCCCAAATTGGGCTGTTCTCAAACTGGGCTGTTCCCAAATTGGGCTGTTCCCAGGAACATCCCAGCTCCCAGTGCTGGGGAAATGGGCTGTTCCTAGGGACATTCCTATGGATGTCCCAGCTCCTAGTGCTTGGGAATTGGGCTGGCCCCAAATTTGGCTGGTCCCAAAATGGGCTGTTCCCAAACTCATTTGGTCCCAGGGACATTCCAGCACTCTGAAATTCAGCTGTTCCCAAATTCAGCTGTTCCCAGGGGTGTCCCAGCTCCCAGCTCTGGGGAATTGGGCTGTTCCCAAATTCATCTGGTCCCAGGGATGTCCCAGAGCTCTGGAACTGGGCTGTTCCCAGGGACATTCCAGCTCCCAGTGCTCTGGAACTGGGCTGTTCCCAAACTAAGCTGTTCCCAGGGCCATTCCAACACTCTGGGGTTGGGCTGTTCCCAAACTGGGCTGTTCCCAAATTGAGCTGTTCCCAGGGACATTCCAGCACTCTGGAATTCAGCTGTTCCCAAATTCATGTGGTCCCAGTGATGTCCCAGCTCCCAGTGCTGGGAATTTGAGAATTTTAGCTGTGTCCCAGGGATGTCCCAGTGCTCAGGAACTGGGCTGTTCCAGGGACATTCCAGCTCCCAGTGCTTGGGAACTGGGCTGTTCCCAAATTGGGCTGTTCCCAGGGACATTCCAGCACTCTGGAATTGGGCTGTTCCCAAATTGGGTTGTTTCCAGGGTGTCCCAGTGCTGGGGAACTGGGTTGTTCCCAAACTGGGCTGTTCCCAGATTGGGCTGTTCCCAAATTCAGCTGTTCCCAGGGGTGTCCCAGCTCCCAGTGCTGGGAATTTGGGAATTTGAGCTGTTCCCAGGGATGTCCCAGAGCTCAAGATCTGGGCTGTTCCCAGGGATGTCCCAGCTCCCAGTGCTCTGGAATTGGGCTGTTCCCAGGGACATTCCAGCACTCTGGAATTGGGCTGTTCCCAGCTTGGGCTGTTCCCAAATTCAGCTGTTCCCAGGGGTGTCCCAGCTCCCTCCCCTGGGATGCTCTGCCGATTCCCTCCTCCTGCAGCACAGGGATTGCTCTGGGGTTCACCCACCCCTCGGATCACTCCTGGGATGTCCCAGCCTGTCCCCAGCCTGGTGTTTCCTTCCGCTGGCCTCAGACATCCCCACAAACCCCACAGCAGCCCCTGGGACAGAGGATTTCAGCTCCCACTGCTGCTGGTGCAGGTTAAACCATTTCCAGAGGTGAAATTTAAAATATTGTGAAGATTTTAGAATCCAGGAGTCAGAGTTAAAGCACTGCATCAGCTTGGCTGCAGAAACACCAATGCCACAGCCTCAAAAAAACACAAAAATAAAGGGAATTTTGTGTCTCAGGATACAGGGCAGCCCTGCTTTAAATAATATGGATTTATTGCTCATGTAGCTGATACTTGTTTTACACAGAGAAGCATTTAGTCAGTGATTATGTTACAGAAAAAACAGCTCAGCAGCCTTTCCTGCCCCAAAGCAGGATTCCAGGCCTCTGAACAAAATTCCAGGTGAGAATGTTCTGCTGGGATTTGGCCACTGCAGAGCCCAGAGCTGCAGCCCCTTGTGCCCAGTGTGTTCATAAATGGCCTTTCTGAAACTCCCAGAGGAAAAGATCTGTACAGATAATTCATAATGAGCTGAAGTTTCGTTGCTTTTATTTCTCCAGCGCTGACTGGACGAGGCTTAGGGGAGCCAGTGGATGAATCTGGATTTTCCTGAGGTAACTCAGAATCCCAGGGAGCAGCTCTGGAGGATGCTCTGGGCAGCAAAACCTGCTGGGTGCAGCTGCCAGAACCACAAACAGGGTTTGGGGGCAATTCTGGAGGGAAAATGATGGATTTGGATGGATTCCATGGATTTGGGCAGCTCCTGGGCCAGCCCTGAGGGAGGTGGGATGAGGGGGTTTTTGGGGTCCCTTCCAACCCAAACCAGTCTGGGGTTCTGGGAATTACCTCAGCAATAGGGAACTGAAGCACTTTAGTTCTTTTTCCCAAGCAGATTTCATGGCCAGTCCTGCATTTTTTGCAGCCTGAGTTTGCACCCATGGGCACAGCCTCTCTGACACCAAACATCCATAAATGTGAGGGAAAAATTTGGGAAAATATCCCAAACATCCTTTACACTGAGCACAGGGAGTGCTGCCCCACATCCCCTGTGGGATTTATGGGAATTTCTCTGTGCCAGGGTGCACACAAAGCATTGCAGCATTTAACTCCTCTGAAATAACATCCAGAATGGGAATTTCACCTTCTGCTCCCCACCCAGCAGCAACTTCCAAACATCTTTGCCCAATTCATTATTATTATTATTATTATTATTATTATTATTATTACTATTATTAGCCTTTTCAGGTCAGGAAACCCCACAGTTTTCCCATCAAAATCACAAATATTTTGAATTCTGATTTAATACAGCTGCATGAGGAAAAAAAAAAAAAAACTTATTGGGATTAGGGAAACCTTTAACCTGTGTTTTACACTTTGTTTTTAGTACAATATTCCAGGCAGATGCAATAAAATTTGGCCCCTCCCTACTTCAGTGCCCAGATTATTTCATGCTTTAAAGGTTTTTCACCTTTTGCCAGGCTGCTCACACTAAAAACTTCCCTAAAATGGCTTTGAGCAGGAACAGGAGCTCAGTTAGGAATTTTACAGCCTTTTAAGCAATAATAAAGTCAGAATCAAATACAAGCCAGACTTGGAAATGAGGTTTTTTTAGGAAAGCCAGGAGCAGGGTGGATGTTTTTCCACTGCTGCTGGCACTGTAAATGACAATTAACTTCAGGTGGCACAAAGAGATCACTGTGTACAAACCTAAGCCTTGGAACCTGAGAGCGGTGTCAGCATTTGGGGCACAAAACCCCGAATTCCTGCAGGTGACAGGAGAATTTCTGGCCATCCTCACCTCCCCATCCCTCCCTCTCCACGAGCACTCTCTGCTTTATCCATTTTCTGAAGGCAGCAGAGTCATGATTACGTTTTTATTTTGGAAAAAGCAATACAAGCTGTGCTGTAGTATCAGTGTTCTTGTGGTGAATAATTTATTTCCAGGCATTTCACGAGGCAGGCTCAGAGAAGAACGGAGGGGTTGGGGTTTGAGGTGTGTAAACAATCACAGAACAAAGCCGTTCTCCCAGTACTTGCTCAGAGAACAATCCAATCCCAGCTCCCACACCCACAGCACAGCTGGAATTTCACCTGGAATACAAGAGCAACATTCCCTCAGTTATGCAATACTGTATTTTCCCAAAAATAATAAAAAAAAAAACAAATAATAGCCTTTATTTTTTAAAAGTTTTGATGACAACACTGAAACCCTTGTCTGGAGAGTGCTGTCCCCGAGACTTTTTCATCCTAAAAAGCAACACAAGAAAAAATTCCACCCCAGCTCCCAGCTGTGGAGCGGAGCCAAAGGCAGCAGGGTCCTGGTGAGCCCTGAGCCCTGTTCCTGCAGCTCTGGGCAATCCTGAGCGCTGCCAGGGCTGTGGGCAGCTCTGCCAGGGCTCTGGGTGCTGCCCAGGGCTCTGCCAGGGCTGTGGGCAGCTCTTCCATGGCTCTGGGCATCCCTGAGCTCTGCCAGGCTCTGGGGTGGTGCCCCAAGCTCTGCCATAGTTCTGGATGCTGCCCTGAGCTCTGCCAGGGCTGTGAGTGATGCCCTGAGCTTTGCCATGGTTCTGGGGTGCTGCCCAGGGCTCTGGGTGCTGGCCAGGGCTCTGCCAGGCTCTGGGGTGTTGCCCTGAACTTTGCCATGGCTCTGGGCATCCCTGAGCCCTGCCATGGCTTTGGGGTGCTGCCCAGGGCTGTGGGTGCTGCCCTGAGCCCTGCCCATGGCTCTGGGTGCTGCCCTGAGCCCCAGGGGAAGCCCCGGGAGCGCGGCCAGGGCGTCTCCGCGGTCCCTCCGCCGTGTCGTGGATGTGTCCAGGTGAATTCTGTCCATGCAACTGCAGATTCTGTATCGTTGTCCATTAGAAGTGTAAACTACTGAGAACTGGGCCTTGCTGATATGAATAAAGTGATTAAAAAATGGTCTTTACACACGGGGAGGAGTCAGTCTTCTTTAAGGTAGCAATGGGCAGATTTGTTCCTTTTTTTTACATTTCCAAACTGACTCATCTAGAAACAGGCTTAAAAAAATTCATAAAGAAACAGGCACAACAGAAATGGTTTTTCATCTTCTCCACAGGGTTCCAAAAGTCCTGGGATGCACCACACACACACACACACAGGGGTGGGGGATTGATGATCCTGGTATTTTTGGGATATCCAAATTGATCGTGAGCTCCACTCCGTCTCCCTGGCCTGGGAACAGCAGCAGAGACACCCAAGGCTCTCCATTTCATGTGCACACACAAAGTGCATCACATTCCCAGCATTTCTCAGCAGCTCCTGCAGATCCCACGGGATCCCCAGGCTGGGAACACTCCTGGGAGCGTTGTGGAGATGACACATTTAAATAACAAGGTGTGACAGTCTCAGGAGGTTGACACAGAAAGCAAGGCTGGGTTGGGTTAAATTCTGGGCAGAGAACAAGTAAAGGAGAGTGGCAATAAAGCAATAAAACCAATCCAGGCAGGGATTCAGGAAGCATCCTGCAAGCTGCTTTCTTGGCAGGAACGTCTTTCCTCGATGGCATTTTGTACATTCCAAAAAATTCAGGGGGAAATCCCAGGGCTGATCCAAGGACATGGAAAGGCAGCAGAGGCAGATGGGACAGAGCATTCCAAGGCAGCCTCTGGGTGTGAGATACACACCTGGAAAAATGCTTTGTGAATCCTTGGTTTTGGACAAAAGCCCTGGAATGCCCTAGAGAAACACTGCCCCAGCAATCAGAGTCATTCTAGAGGCCACTCTTACAGCAAACTGAAGATTCTAAATAAATCCACAATCAAAGGCAAGGTTTTGAGGTGCTGGATGACAAATCCTGCCAAAACTGGATCAGTTCACTTGATGTAAGGCCACGAACTGCAATCAAATGTCTGTACTTACAGATATCAAAGTTGATTTTATAGAGAAAGAATTGTTCTGCATTTCATGGAAGAGTGATGTTGACCTTGAGTATATTCAAGCAAATCCCCACATAAACATCCTCAAATTTCAGGGGTTTCACGTGGCCCATCAACTCGTAAGTCCTCAGGGCCAGTTTTCCATCCAGGACGTACCCCAGGCCGCTGCAGTGGCTGGAAGGGATACTCCTGGTAGGAGATGAACCTTTCCCTGTCGAAGCCTCGGTAGGCAGAGTTATCGATGAGGGGGCACGCGGTGAAAACGTTCTCCGAGGAGTTCAGCTGCAGCGGGAGCTGCACCAGGTTGGGAGCGTTGATGAAGACATTGGTGTCGGTCCTCATCAAGAACCTGGCACTGGAACAGAACTCAGAGAACCACTGGATGTGGGAACTCAGCACATCATTCCTGATGTGCAGAGTCACCGAGACAACCCTTGGGGGGCTCGGAGGTCCTGGAATGTTGCCAGAAGTGTCTGGTGGCTGGACTGTGATCCTGCACAGGAGACGACACCTGTATGAGGATGGGAGGATATCACAGGGATAAATGGTGAAGGGATAGATTAATTATAGTGTGAAACACAGGTTTTAGAATTTCGGTACAGGGGGGTTCTAGGGAGACAAGATGGAGGAATTAGGGCGTGTCCTGCCCTTCTTCCTCTTCTTCTTCTTGTCGTCCATCTTCTGTGGTGGTGGTGGCTTTTTGGGATTGGTTCTTACTGAATGTGCACTTGTCAATAAGGGTGAAAGGTATTGGGGAGAATAGGTAAATATCTTATGGGTAGTTTTGGGTATAAAGATAAGTGACCGCCCCGAGGGCTCTCAGTGTGCTCATGGCTGACGTGCTGTGCGGACCTCTGTCGGGTGGAGAGAAGATATTGTGGATAAAAACTAATAAACACTGAAGACTCCTTTGGTCCTTTGGAGCGCGGGCTGTGCCAAGGCCATCCCGAGCCTTTCCAGGCCATCAAAAACAGCCGACACGGGACAGATGAAGACATCGGCGTCGGTCCTCATCAAGAACCTGGCGCTGGAACGGAACGCGGAGAACCACTGGAAGGCCATGATGGTGTTCAGGGTGAGGTTGTCGCACGTGCCCACGAAGTCCTGGCGGATGGTGTCCCCGTGGAGGATGCTCTCGTCCTGCAGCGCCGCCGTGTCCTCGCTGTGCGCGCGCCGCCCCAGCAGGAACGGCGTCAGGACGTGCTGGCCCCGCCAGGAGCGCCGATGGTGTCCCCATGGCCTCCCTGGCTTTCACGTCCCCGGGGCTGGAAGCCACCAGGATGGCCAGGAAGGGGCGGAGGGGGGGAAGGTAAAAATCAACTTCCTCAAATCAAGCAATGTACTCAAGCTGGTTTTGACCAAAATCGTGACTGCTTTTACCGTTGGCCAGGTAATTTTTGGATTTGAGGCACACAAACTCACAGCAGGTCCCTCCAGACCCCTGTGGGATCCGTGCTGAAGCTGCTGCCCCAATGTCAGGATTAGAGATTCCAATGGATAAATCCTCACAAAATTCAGTTTAAAACCAAACCCCCAGGCCTGTACCACATGTAGTTTCATTTCCTTAAAACCACACGTGCTCTGTCATCTATTTTAGACACCTTTAAGCCAAAATAACCCCAGTGGCTAACTGTGGGAATTCCAAATGGTTTCTGATGTTTGCAGTGATAATATTTATCCTGCACAACCACGCACAAAGACACAGCCAGGATGACAGAAAGTTTGATTTCACAGCACAATTAATTATCCTTTATCTTCAAAAATATAACCACAGGGCTCATAAATGTTTTAGATTGGACAAATAAATCCAACCCCCAGAACAGCAGCATGGAGTCCAGGGGAATTTGATTTTCCAGAGCCCACCTGCCTCGTGTTTCTGTGTAGGATCTGATTTTAAATTAATCATCCTTTAAAGGAAACATTTGGAGAGCATTTCACCAACAATGGCCTTAAAGCAGATTAAAACAATTTTATATAAAGCATTTAAATAGCAGAATTTCAGACTGATTCCTCTCAAAATCAGTAATTAACTAATAGGAATCTTACCTTTTTATGCATCAACCTGACTTTCAGTGGACAGTAGGAGAATAAATACTGGAAGAAAATAACCTAGGTTATGTATCAGTGCTTATTATTTGATTTTAGAACAATAGCATTTATTTTGATTATCAACTTTAAAGCTTATCAGTGAAAACCGATCCGTTTGACCATGGAAAACATACTATAAATAGCTTGATTTTTATAGGAAGGAAAGCCTGGTTTCGTGACACTCTGAACAACAAAATTGGAGACAAATCCTGATCTGCTACATAAGGAAAAATCTGTGAAAATAAACATCAATTCAGGTCCTTCAGGAAACACCAGGCACACAGGGAAATGAATCCCCACCTCGTCCTGTTGAGTCAGCAAGGTGTGAGCACTTCTGCCCGGCCACGGTGCAGGTTCTGCCCCTCCAGCTCCTCCTCCGCTCCCAGACTTTGTGCTGGCACTTTTTCCATTCCAGCTGTGGATGGCAGCTCCTTCCAGGGCATTACTTCCATTTTCTTCCAAGCTGAGATTGTGCCAAAACACAAAACTGGTGACTTTTGGGAATAAATCTGAGGCAACACAACGCTCAGAATGTTCCTCCATGGGGATTCAGATCCATCTCCACCCAGGTAGGGGATTGTGTAATGTGGACGTGCTTGGGCATGAAAGAGGTGGGAAATTCTCATATTCATTAAAGATTACTAATTACAATAACCAATAGTCCAATATTATTATCTTAAAATACTATAATAATAGGTGTATAGAAAAAATAATTCCTTTTTAAAGCTACCAGCAGAAATAACTTGGAAATACATTATTTAAAGCTGGCTTTAAGGCCGGCTTGGACGGAGGCTGGACTATGGGAGGCAGGAGATGAACGAGATAAAGTTTAAAGTCCTTCCAGCCCAAATCAGCCACCGATTCTACATTTTTAAACTTAAAACCATTCGAAACTAGAGGCAATTTTGCAAGACCCCGGGCTGCGATGCTCTAATGTACCAAAACGTCAAGGATTTTATTTTAAAAAATAAAAAACCTTTATAAGACCTTTACCAGCGCCTGGCTGTCACTCGCTGCTCCCGGTACCTCTGTCGGAGCGCGGGGAGGAGGGGATGGCAGCGGGGCTGTGCCGCCCTCTGCCGAGCCCAGGCACCATCCCAGCCTTTTCTGCGCTTGTTCATCCCAGCCGGCAGCGCCGCGCGGGGCTGGCTCGGTGTGCGCGCTTCCCCCGCACGCATCTCACCGCGCCCTGGGCTGCGTCCCCGCTCTCCATCCCCACGCCATCCCATCCCCATCCCATCCCCATCCCCATCCCCATCCCATCCCCATCCCATCCCCATCCCATCCCCATCCCCATCCCATCCCCATCCCATCCCCATCCCCATCCCCATCCCCACGCCATCCCATCCCCATCCCATCCCCATCCCCATCCCCATCCCATCCCATCCCCATCCCATCCCATCCCCATCCCCATCCCATCCCATCCCATCCCATCCCCATCCCATCCCATCCCATCCCGTCCCATCCCGTCCCATCCCATCCCCATCCCCATCCCATCCCCATCCCCATCCCATCCCATCCCATCCCATCCCATCCCATCCCATCCCATCCCTATCCCCATCCCATCCCTATCCCCCATCCATCCCATCCCATCCCATCCCATCCCATCCCCATCCCCATCCCCATCCCCATCCCCATCCCATTTCCCATCCCGTCCCGGTTACCGTGTCCCGCAGCGGGAAGGCGCCGCCTCCCGTTCCGCCTCCCCGAGCGGTGCCCGCTCCCCGCCGTCCCTCGGGCATCAGCCCCGGGCACACACACGGCCGAGCCGCCTCCCCTGGCGCTGGAGCTGCTCCCAGTGAGGATTCGCTGCCCGTTAGCGCATCCATCACCCTCGGCACTGCATCGAGCCTGCCTGGACGAGCCGGGTTTGCGTTCTGCTGTTCGGTTCACCAAAGGGTTACAGGGCAGAGCTGGAGCTCGGATCAGCCGGTGCTCAGTCAGCTCTCCCTCCTTTATGGCTCTGGTTCTGCAGGGGGCTGGGGGCTCGGCACAGAGCGGGAAATTGTATTGGGTAAGAGACCCGACACAATCGATCAATGGACCGAGCTACCCCGGGGATAACAGCGCCATCTCCTCCGAGAGTCCGGACGGACGGGGAGCTTCGCCACCTCGGTGTTGGATCAGGACATCCTTCCTAGTGCTGCCGCCGCTACTGAGGGCTCGTTTGTTCAGCGATTAACAAACCCAGCCTTGGACAAAGCGAAGCTGGAGGAGGTTCGGTCCGGTCCGGTCCGGCCCCGGGGCAGTGCCGGGTCAGGGCTCTGGGGAATCCGTCCTGAGAGCGAATTCCTGCACGGTCAGAAACCTGCAGAGCCCCGCAGGAATTACCTCACAAAAAGTCAGGCTGTGCTGGATCCCTGCTTTGAAGTGACAGCTGATGGAGGAAATGACAGCCGTTACCATAAACACCCAGCGCAGGTGGAGCACGCAGAGCAGAGCACTGTGAGTGATCCCCGAACCACAGCTGGGGACAGAGCATCCATCCCTGCCTTGCTCAAAATATCCATATTTTATTGGAATCTCATCAGGGAATTCTGGTCCATTTGACATGTTAACCCTGTGTTCTGCAGTTTGCTGCCTCCCCATCTTTCAATTCATTTGTAAAGAAATGCAAACACTTTCCCCCCTGGTTTAATACATCCTGCTTTAATACATCCTGCCCTGCTCCTGAAAACCCCTCCACATAATCCAGCCGTGTTATTAACTATGAAAAACGTGCAGCAGGGAGTGTGCCACTGCCATCTCTCGTTGCCCCCAATTAGTCCTGCCCTAACCCTTTTGGCCTCGAGAGAAACCAGATTATAACTTGTCTGTCAGGGCTGAGGTGGATTTTACGCAACCAATGTCGTAATTATCGAAATGATTGCTCTATCAGTCAGCAGCTTGTTACAAGACCTTCACATCTTTTTGCTGATTCTGGGCTTTCTGAAGCAAAGAGGAATGGTTTCCTGGGTGTAAGGGCAACTCCTGCAGTACTCAGGATGTGTCAGAGCAGCCCAAGGTGCATCTACTATCAGGAGAATGAACAGTCAATAGGAACTCATTAATAGCTGACTACATTTTCTATCTCCTCTTGTTTTATTCTGCTACTTGGAGTGGTAGCCAGAAAAATGATCAAGACTTGGTTATTTCCTCGCTTCTTGACCCTTTCCTGAAGGAAATCTTCACTGGGCAACCACGGAGTAAAGCAAAATGAAGGTAACAGGATTTTTTAGTGTGTGGCAGCAGGATCTCAGTGATGAGCAGACCACAAGCTCTGGATTTAGGCTCCACCTTGTGGGGTGCAGTTGAAAACTCATTCACCAACAACGCAAACAAACTCCCTGAGTTTACAGCCCTGGCAGGAGGAGTCACTGAGGCAGCTGCTGAGGGCAGAGCCCCGTTTTAGTGGAGTTCTCTTAGGAGTTCATTGAGTCCATGGGCTGGAATTCACATTTGAGACCACCTAAGATCAGTTTGTGGGAGATGAATGCACTGATAAATCAGCTACCAGCTCAGTTTGTGGCTTGCTAAGTATGGACAAATCTTAAATCTTAAACCTCCCCTGCTCACTGCTTGTGTTCATATCTAGATGCCTTGTGCAGGCTGCCCTGGAGCAGAGCTGGGCAGAGTCACAGAATAAAGCATTTATTCCAGCATTTATGGCAGGGATTTATTCCAAGGATCTCCTCCATGGACCCACCTTGGGCAGCACCAGAGCCCAGCCAGGGCTGCACCCAAGATGAACCAAAATGGCCCCAAAATGCACGAGCGCTCCCGGGGTCTCTCCCTGGGATCAGTTCTGCTCCATTTGCACCTTGCAGTTCATTGTCCCATTCCAGCTTTAGCCCAGGCAGTCCCACCCTGCTTGTTTTTCTCTCTCCAGCCCACGGGGTTTGTGCTCCTGGGCTGAGATTTGGATCATTTGTCCTTGGTGCCCAGCTGGAGCAGGAATTGTTTTGTCTCCCTGCTCTGTGCACAGAGCTCACCAACACTTAACATGGAGCTCAGAACTGCCCACTAAACCAGCACAGAATCTGAATATAAAATATCAGAATATAAAAGCTAAAGCTTAAGGCATCAATCCCATTTTCCTCCCAGCTGGCTGTGGATGCTCAGGGGGATTCTCTGGGAGCCAGGACGTGGTTGTGATCATGGACCAGGGTGCAGGTGCTGGGAACGTGGCTGCTCAAAGCAGCTGGCAGGCTGTAACCTTTGTGCCTGTGCCAGTGGGGCCGTGGTTACTCATCCCAGTCCCACCCACAGGCTTGGCACGGAGCTCTGCGCCTCCCGAAGCCTCGTGGCTCCTTATCGCCCCGATAAACGCAGCGTGTGTTTGTGCACAGCCCCGGCAGCTCCACAGCTCACAGCTGCCTCTTCTCCCTCTCTGCCTGTGCCCCACCTCAGCAGGGAGACAGGCAGCGACACAAAGTGGCCCCGGGAAGAGGGGGAATATCCCTGGGATTGAGAATTCCCGGGATAAATGGGCCTGCAGAACGGCAAGCCCTCAAGGAAGGGGGCCAACATCCCGATGCTGGGGCTGGACTCGGCGGGGAAATCCACGCTGCTCTACAAGCTCAGGTATAAGGATGCTTTTGTAACACTGCCAACCATTGGCTTCAATGTGGACATGATTGAAGCAGGGAAGGATTTCACACTGACCTTTTGGGATGTTGGAGGGCAGAAGAAAATGAGGGAGCTCTGGGGCAATTTCCTGGAGGACGCGGGCGGGCTGCTGTACGTGGTGGACAGCGCTGACAAGCGGCGCCTGGAGGAGTCCAGGAGGGAATTTGAGCTCATTTTAAAGAACGAATCCATAAAAAACCTCCCGGTGGTGGTGCTGGCCAACAAGCAGGACCTGCCTGGAGCCCTGAACGCCGAGGAGATCACCAGGAAGCTGAAGATGAAGAAGTACTGCAGTGACAGGAACTGGTACGTGCAGCCCTGCTGTGCCCTCACGGGAGAGGGGCTGCCAGAGGCCCTCCAGAGGGTGACCACGTTTGCCAGGCAGTACAAGAAGTCAAAGGAGACTTTCATCACCCTGAAGGAACTCAATTCCTCTTAAGGATTTCTACCATCCACTTCTGGTGACTCTTAACGTACTGTATTGGACAGATTAAATCTGGAAGTACTGGACTCTGAAGAACTTTTATACATAAATATTTATAAGGGACCTTGACAATATTAAATTCTACTGTTATACCTGCAGATACTTGATGTACCTGATGGGATATCTCATACCTGAGATAGGACTCTGTAGCATTTTATTATTATTTTTTTATTTACTTTGGGTTATTCAAGTTGAATGATGAGAAAGGGGCAGTGGAGCACACGACAATAGAATGGGTGAGCAGTGTTTAAGTGGCTTAAATTAAATGAAGATTCGATTCAATTTTTTCCAAGATGTAAACCAGCCAAGTCATTTGGTCAGCAGTGATGAAACGCTGTTTCGTAATCAATGGAATAGATGTGTTTCTTATTTGAAAAGAGTGGGGTGAGAGCTGCAATCTAGTTATGTACCAGAGAATTTGGCTGTTTCTGCACTCTAGAAACAATTCCTGCAGGGAGGTGGTGACCAGCAGGACGAGCTCCTCACCCAGCCCTGGGCAGAGCCTGGCTCCAGTGCTGTCCCCAGGGTGCAGCTGTGCCCTCCCATTGTCCCAGAGACCCTCGTGTCCTCCCCTTGTTCCTGCACTGCCCTCCCCACAGGAGAGCAGCCAGGGAAGGGCTGAACCCCCTTGGGTTTGTGGTGATTTCCCAGCCCTGGCCTCTGGAAAAGCCGTGGCAGGGGTTCCCTTGTGCTCCCATTTTTTTGTTTCAGGATTACACCAAGGAAGTAGGTGGGAAGTAGGAAGCTTACATTTCATTCTTACTAACAAACAGACAGGAAAGTCAAGTTATAAAAGGGTGAAGCAGCAATAAAATCACCCAGACATACCCTGTTGTCTCATGCACGGGTTATTCAAAGACAAAAAACATCAGGTGGGTTTGCTGAAATAGTAAACATAGGGAAGTTTCCCAATAGTAGCTGTTATTAATACTGAGACTAATTAATTACCAGGGGCTAAAGGCTCAGTCATGCTGAGACTTGCTAAAAGCACAGAAAATGTCTGGATTTCTCATTGCCCGCTCTGGTGATTTGGGCTCAATAGAAAATATCATCTTCTGTCCCTAAAAAGATCTTTAAAAGGCATTAATGTCGGTTTTCCAAGGCAAAAAACTTCAATGTTTAAAAATGTGATATTTCATATTGATACATTTATAAATGTTTGTATGTGTGTATGGTGAATTCTCTTAATCTGCTCACGTGTCTGTTATAAAGCAGAATTTACTTCTGTGGCCTCAGCACTTCCTCAGGGAGAAACACTCCTGAGAGATTTAATGAAGGTGCACCAGGGTCTCAAATTAGCCAGGAAGCAAGTGGTGAAGGGAGAAATAAAGTTGTAAAATAGACCAGCTCATACAGCTAAAAATGAGAATAAGCTCTCAGGCACACATGCCCTTCTGCAGGTTATCAAATTACACTAAATGACGCTCACATCAACTTGAAGAAATGTTTTACATTATGCTTCAAAGGGAAGGAATAAACTCAATTCCATTCCCTTCACAGAATATCAAGTGTTTAAAAATTGCATTTTTGAAGAGCTTGGTTTCCCAGAGAAGTGAAGGCAGGCCGGTTCCATCTGCCCAAGGAGACCCCAACCTTTTGGAATCACTTTAACGATTTAAAATAAATCTCAGTCGGGCTGGCTTGGAGGTGCAGGTTCTCGGAGGAATGCGATGCCTGAAAGTTTAATTTAAAACCTCAGTGAGGCAGAGAAAAGTGACCACTCTTTAAAGGCAAGGCTGTGAGGCACAAAAGCTGATTCTCACGGAGATAAATGTTCCATTGACACGGGACATCAATCCAGAGCCAGGGCTTCATGGGCTCCCCTGCTCCCGGAGCTGCTGGGGCACACAGAGAACCCTCAGGATGGGACAGAAATGGGGTGCACTGCCCCAAACCTGGAGCAAAACCCTCCCTGGCACTCAGCACATCTTGGGAAGGGAACTGGGGCTCAGCTCTGAGCGCAGGCTCACCCCAGCACGCTGTGTGCTCCCAGGAGAAGCCCGGGAATTGCTGGATATCTGATCCCATCACGTGTTCCATGGTGAAAGCAATACCGAGAGACTTCCAGAGATTCCAAAGCTTCCAGCTCCATCCCTCTTGTGGAGTTGGAACTGCCTGGCTGAACACCACGAGCAGAATTGTCTTGGTGTTTCAGGAATTCTGACGGTGCTAAAATCCAGCTCTCAGCACAGGGATTATTTATTCCTGGAGAAGTTTGGCTTATTTTATTGTTTAGAATTTTTACAGATTACTCACTACAAATCTTTTAGGATTTTTGAAGGGTTTGGGATGCTTTGAGATGGTGAGAAATCAGAATCTGAAGAACCCTCAGGCAGTGGAGCTGAAGGGATGAAAATCCTTGAAGAGTTGGGGTCAGATGTTTGCTGGGGTCAGCTGTTTATTTTGCTTCAAATATGGGAATTTTTTCATCAGCTCACCCTGCTGTTTTGCATTTTTAATTGCTGCCTTCTGGTGTTCTGTAGCTGAAGGGACACTCAAATCCTTCAGTGTCTGCTCCTATTCCTTAAAGAGTTTGCTGTGCCTGATCCTTTGTGCTGACACAAAAGTCAATGTGACAAAATGAGTGGGACACAAAAAGAGAAGGATCTGAACCCCAGGGCCTGCAGGACCCTGTGCCCTCTCAGGGAGGTGTGTTTGGATGGCAGCATTTAAAGCTGACAGACCCAGGGGATGGGACCTGTCCTGTTGGCCATTCCTTGATAAGATCCCTGTGGTTTGAAATCACATTCAGGTTTCTGAGTTTAGGAATAACTCATGGAGCTCACTGAACATGGGTCCAGTGGGGTGAAAAGGGGATGAAATGCCATTTTAAGGCATATAATTTAGAATCCAGGAGAAGTGGAGAAGTGTAGTGTCTAAGGACTGCAGGACAAGGCTTCTCCAGATAAATATTATTACTCAAAATGTCTCTGTGCCATCACATTTTGGACAAGTAACTGAACCAAAGGAGAGACTTCCCTGTGTCAAACAAGTTCTGAGTGCTGCAAAGGAGACAGCACCACTCTGAAGTGCTGGGTGCACATTGAACAGGTTTTTCCCCAGGAAAATCAGCCCTGCTGAGTTCTGTGCTGCTGCAATCAGGCTTCCTGCACTTTAATTAGCTCAGGTATCCTGTTTGGATTCTGGACATCCATCTCTCAGATCCCACAGCCTGGATGAGCCAACTGGCAGTAATTTGGGATGTAAATTCTGCAGGGTGGAGGCCCTCAGCACACACCACACTGCAGGGACCATTTGCAAATGGAAATTCATGGACAGTAACGAGCCCAGACACATTCTGAAGGCAGGGGATTTCAGCAAACTGAGCATTCCTTGTGCTTCAGTTTCTCCAATATTCCGTTCCACAGCTGCGCTCGGTGTTCCTGTGCTGCTCCTGCTCATCCCTGATGCGTTTGTGGCACTTGGACTGGCACCCTCAGCCCTGTCACTGTGTGTCCCCTCCCCGTACCCAGCAGAGCTTTCTCCCTGTCCCAAGGGCAGCGCAGCTCCCATGGTCTCCTTATCAGATTTCCCCTGGGTTTTTGGGATTTGTCCTCTGCTTGGAGTGACCTACAGACATTTACAGACATTTACAGACATTTACAGACATTTACAGACATTTACAGACATTTACAGCCCCATTTCATTGTTTTCTGCCAGCTCCTTCCTCAAAGCTCTCCTTTCCCACGATGAATGCAAACCTCCTGACAATGCTTTATGAGCCGTGGCTTTTGATGAATATTTTTTATTATTTCCTTGTTCTCCCCGTGCTTATTCATCTGCTCCCTTTTAGTCCTACAAGGTGCTTTCATTGGTGCAAAGATCAACTTTTTGTTGGGTTTTTACTTTTGTTTTAACCTTTTGTTGACTTGTTTTTACTTGTTCTACCCTTTTTATTTGCCTGGCCAATGAGAAGTTTCTAGGCCTTGCATTACCCTGATTCTGGCAAAATACCTGCAAAAATAAGTAATTTTGTGAGTTTAATAACCCACCTGGCTCTGAAACCTGAGCCATGCCTATTGTTTGGTTTCAGCAATTATAGTTGGGAGCAGCAGCAAGGATTTTATCGATCCAGACAAAGGCCAATCTCCCCTGAAATTCTGCTTGGCTGTTAAAGGCTAACTGTGCCTTGATCAATAGTTTTCAGTTGCTTTATCTAAAGCACACACGTTTATCACTGAAGAATGTGAGTGTCTCAACCTTCCCCCAAGAGCTCAGAGAAGTTTTATTTCTTACAGGGCCGTCCCAGGCTGCTGAGAAAATCCCTGGCATCATTTGGATGTAACACAAAACATGGAGGCATTCTGCAAACAGCTTCGTTAACAGTGATAAATTAATTTATTAATTGGCTCCTCATGGGCTCAGGGCTGGATGCCTTTGCCAGCACAAGGGAATCTTTTTGGATTGAATTCATGTGGATTTTCCTTTGTTGGGGATTAACAATAAAGGGAATAATTTTGGATCAAATTCGCGTGGATTTTCCTTTGTTGAGGATTAATAATAAAGGTTTAATTTGCCTAAAATGTCTGTAGGTGGTCACACAATTTTTATGTGCCCATCAGTATTTACACAGCTTGAATTCCCTGAAAAGGTGAAAAAAATAAAGAATTACAGAAGAATTTAAGGAGTTAATCTGGCGGGGTGGTGGGGGAAGATAAATGACAGCAATGCTATGAGAAAGGGAAGTGAAAAGAAAAGTGAGAAAATTCTCAGGCCAAAGTACTGAGTGTTGTAGGTGCACAAAGAAATAGAAAGCAAAAAAAGCTCCTTCCCAGGCATTAACTTCGCACTCTGGTGCAAAGCTGAGGCTGCTGCTTGTTTAAAATCAACGTTTCATGTGTGCAATCGCTCCTGGTGCTCACAGGGGAACGTCCCCTGAACGGTCGAAGCTGAGGGCAGCAGTTTCACAGATAAAACAATATCAGGCCATAAAGATAATGCAACTTTGGAGCAAA